GTCTCACTTCAGATTCCTAAACAATAATTTTGTTTGACTTTACTTCCCGGCCATGTGACGAATATTAAAAGATCTGGACGTTTTTCAATCCAAAAAGATGAAAATCAATAGCTCAATTTTCCCCAATGATGGAGACTAGCAGTTCACGTCAACGCAATATCTTGTTTTCAAATTTCATAGTGAAGCTGAATGGAAAGTCTCTCAAAAAAAAAAATTTTATCGTTGTTAAAGTCGAGGGAGAAGTTTTAAAGTTGTTATGCTCTGGGCTCTTACTCACATCGTCCGTTTTAGAGATTCCATTATGTTGCTCATCCAATTAATTGACAGTAAGCTGGGTAAAATTTTGAAAAATGATGATTTGTCAAAGTTTAAGTTGACAAAGAATTGTCCACACCTTTTTATCGAGTTACTTAGTGCTCCCATCATTAACCTATGGGTTAACCTCCTTGTATGTGTTGTACAAGACTGAGGGGGCCACACACTGATCGTAGGGCTGTTGTGCATGCCGTACACATGATTCTTAACCTAATGGTTCATTCATTAGAAAATAATTGTTGATTACATCATGCATGACCTTATGGCTTATTGGCATAGAATTTGTTGTACTGAAATTGGGTTTATCAAAATTTTCAACTAAGTGAATAAAGATAATAGTATTGTGTTGCTCAATTCTCAATATGTGGGCAACCTATATATTGTTTGATGTCTCAAGATTTGACACTTGAAACGCTCTTCTACAATTTTTCTACGTGTGAATAATTTTTAATAATTTTGTTAGTACTATAAAGTGATAATTTGTTAGAATTTGACTTTAAAAAATTGTGTACACGTCTTAGACCCGTCACCTATCTTTAACAGTGGACAACTATATAAATAAATAGATAATAGCAAGAGTAAACAAACTCTGTTCAAGTACCTCGATTGATTATGCATATCCTAAATGAACAAGATTGATTGAGCTTGTAGACTAACTCATCGTCAAAGGAATTTATTAATTAAGTTTGTTAGGAAACTTCAACTTACATTGTACACATCGAAAAAGAACTAAGAGTGTTTATTATTGAAATACCCACTCTTCCAAATAAATCATGAGATTTGCTTGCTAACATGATCGTTGAAGTGTCACAAGTTCGACATCTTCGATGTACATGTGCTATTCAAATTTCTGAGAATCTCTATTCATAGCATCAATTTTTTGGCTTCCAAAATATATTAATTTCTCATGATCTATCACCAAAACATAAATAAATTTAACTAGAAGAAAACCAACCACCTTTCAGTTTATATTAACTTAACAATTAATCTAAAAAAATATTGTATCATTTTACAAAACCCATGTCACTTAATTTTAATCATTTGCAAAATCGTAGTTTTAATTGGAGAAAAAAATGGCAAATTTGATTTGAAAGGCTTGGGAACATCGATAAATATTTGGCCTAATTGTTTATTAATTAAGAGTGCACACACAGCACGATTTACAATCCTCTCACATCAATGACGTGGACTCTACAGCCCAGCGAAGGGGTTGCTCATGTACAGCACCTACAAACAGCTTCTTCCATTAATTAAGGATTACGACTAGAAAAACTGGTCTGAATCCAGAAAATAAGAGCAACTAACACAAGAAGACAAAAAATACTTTTTTTTGGGTACCAGCATTATTTCAATATATTATTGTTGAAGATGAGGCAAAATCCACATGAGATGTCGGCACCATGGTGTGAATAGATGAAAAGATTGGAATATATCACATTAATTTCATTTAATCTGTTTTATTTCGTATTTACATGGAAAGGCTACAGCCTGCATATTAGAATACATGTAATCGATAGTCGTTTTGGTGTCATTACTTTTTTTTTTTTTTTTGATATCCAGGTATCCCAACTTACACTAAACTAAATATTGGACCTCCAAGACCCTTGCCCCTAGAACCTTGGAGGGGATAAATCGCGAGTTATGCCTCAACTGGATCACAGGTTCCCCCATTTCCTGTACACTTCTGCACACAAGAGACCTTCCTCTACAGTGATTGCTCCCTACCAAATATTTGGCCGCAAGTTCCCATCAGGAATCGAACTCTCCAGCCTACCGCTGGAAGCAAGACAATGTTGATTGATCCAGGTGTCATTACTTTTTGTTTTCTTTAATGTATCATTACACTCGAGAACTTTGCACTTTTTTCCCTAATCTTTATTTCTTAGCACCTATATTCTCAGCCTCTCATTTATGAACAGTCGTCGTTCTTAGAGATAGGCCTGTACAAAAAAATCGCGAAATTGCAAATCTAACTGAAACCGCTAATTTGAAACCGTTGGTTCGGATTCATGTGAGGCCGCAATTTTTTTCCCTTAAACTGAACCAAACCCTTTCAAAATGGTTTGATTTAGGTTTTGATTTTCAAAAACAACACAAAATCGAACTTAACTATTTTTAAATTTTTTAATTAAAACATTAATTTTATTAACTTAAAAATTTTACAATTTTCACTTTCCAAAAAAAAAAAATCATTTAGCAATACAAATTACAATCAGTCCATTGAAATAATCATAGAAAGTAAATTAGGTTCATTATATGATTTAACAAGTTCACAATACAAATCCTCATCTGATATTTAAACTAAGCTAAAATTATTCCAAAATCATATGAAATTGAAAAAAAAAAATAACATATGTTTTCTACAATCCAAATCTTAAACAAAACTATGTCAGTAAATCACGTCTAAAGTTTCAAAAGCCATAAAACAAACTCTAATTTCCCTAATATTTGATGCTTGTCTGCTACTGTTGAACGAATCACCAATCGCATTTGCCTATTAGTTTGTTAATTTCTATCTGAATTGTCTCATTCTCTCTTCTCTTTCGATAAGTCTCAGATTCTCATTCAAGCAATTTTTTCGTTGCTGTTTCATTTATTTGTTGTTTTTGAACTTATTATGTACTTGTGATTTGTGATTTAGATAGAAAAATGTCTGTTTGTGCATCTAGATGATTAATGAACTTATTTGTGGTTTGGAAAGAAACGAAGGATTGAGCATATTGATTGTGTGAAGATGTTAAAGTTCCCTAACACTAGTTAGAGAATAAAATTCATCAATACCCCATAAGGGGAAATTTTATCAGTTTTTGTACATCTAAACATATATCCCGTTCAATTCCCAATAAATTGGAATGAAATTCGTCAATTTCCAATAAGTTGAAACTCTATTTCAATCTTTATTTACACTAGTAAGACGAAAAGAGTTTTAACCAAACTATAATAGCAAAATGTGACTCTACATTTACCAACCGCTATATGACAATATGAAAGTCAAATAAGAAAATGTAAATAAAAATGAATAAATATGTATTTATTCTATTAACATTTTTAAGAACCAATTTTGAAAATAATTTATTCATGAATTTCATAGTAAATATGAATGTAATTTAACATTTGACATTATTAGTTCTTGTTTACATTTATATGTATCCTTATGTTAAATATATTACAATAATGTTGATTGGTAAACTGCGGATTAAAATCGAACAAAATCGCAAATTGTGATTTGGTGAAAAATTTCAAACCCTATGAAATGGTTTGAGTTGAAAATATAGTATAAATCATTCAAATCGAACCGCGTTCACCTCTATGTAGAAATTGAAATTGTACAAAACATCCCTT